TATATACATACAATGGAATATTACTCAGCCATAAAAAGGAAGGAAGTGCTGATACATGCTACAATGTAGATGAACCTCAAAAACATCATGTTAAATGAAAGAAACAAGACACAAAAGGTCATACATTACATGATTCTATTTATATGAAACATTCAGAACAGATAAATCCATAGAGACAGAAAGCAGATGAGTGGTTGCCAGAGTCTAGGGGGAGGGGAGAATGGAGAGTGACTGCTTAATGGATATGGAATTTCCTACTGGGGTGATGGAAATGTCTTGGAACTAGACAGAGGTGATGGTTGCACAACAGGGTGGATGCCCTAAATGCCAATGAATTGCACACTTTAAAATGGTTAGTTGCTAATTTTATGTTATGCAAATATTTCCTAAACAAAAAAAAAATATACATTTATTTTGTAATATCTTCTATCACAAATTATGAAGTCAAAATGATGTTATCTGATATAAAGCAGAACCATCCAAGGTCTAAATTTGGTTTTTAGATTATTTTTCTCTAAGGCCTTTTTCTGTCCAAGGCTTCTTGGACAGACCAGGTCTCAAACTTGAGCGCACCCTACAGGGATTGTTAAAAAACAGATTGCTGGGCCCAACCCCCAGACTTCCCAATTCAGAAGGTCTGGGGAAGAGCCTTAAGAGTTTGCGTTTCTTGCAAATTCCCAGGTGATGTTGCCACTGAGGTCCAGGAACACACTTAAGAGAATCTCAGTTCTAACGCAATCTAGAAGATACTACCATGGAGCTGATTCCTGGGTCAGAAAGCAGTAATTTCTGAAAGCACTTGCCATAAGGAAAAGCAAGCAGCCCCTGCTACAGACACCATCTTAGGTAGTGTATTATTTGGATATGCCACATACTTGATGAGGCTGATGTCACAAACTAGTTTGCTTTTTGTATAGAAAAAATGACCTTAGAGACTTGTCTCACAAACACACTAGAACACTCTGTCCAGAACTTACAGGGCAAACAAAGTTAATTAAATACTGCTCCTAAATTATTTCTCAAATATACAGAAGATACCACATGAGATATATGTCTGGTAATCTGTTTGATAATCTCATTAATTTACCATCCTGGGTTTTCTGAGCAAACTCCTTACCGGCTCAGGGTAAGCAGCGCTCACGCCTCACTGACAAGAGCAAAGTCTACAAACTAGAGGACAGAACGCTAACTGACCTACAGATACAAACACCCGAATCTCCCATGTCACAGCATTCAGCTTTCCAGCAAAGCTCCCTTCAACATGAAACCTTAACTCCGTGCTTTATCAGAACCCATAAACAGTTCTTGGTTTTGCGCTACTTAATTACCTCCCTATTGCAATAAATATGGTGTTGGGCACATCAACAGTCTCCTCCTTCACAACTAACATCGTATAAATAAAAAGCAAAGATCAGCAAATTCAGACAATTTAAGTAATTGTCTTCCTTAACATTCCCAAAGGGGATCAGCTACATGCAAGTTAAACCATTCTTCTGTTTTCATCTCTGAGTCACAGGAAAACGCTGCCACTTTTTATCGACTGCACTCAGCCCTATGTCTAGTATGACCCACTGAAACCTCTCTCCTTTGGCAGCTTATTTGAAAATCGTGAGCTGCGGAGTACACCAGAGGCTACTATGGGAGATACTGTTCTCTGTAAATATAGCAAATAACTTCCAAACAAACAACGGGGTAACAAATCTAAAAGCTATTAATCGAAAGCTTGCTCAACAGCAATTGCAGTTTTTATTTTTTTTGTTACGTATTTTTTTTGAGGAAGATTAGCCCTGAGCTAACATCTGCTGCCAATCCTCCTCTTTTTGCTGAGGAAGACTGGCCCTGAGCTAACATCTGTGCCCATCTTCCTCTCCTTTATATATGTAGGATGCCTGCCACAGCGTGGCTTGACAAGCAGTGCGTAGGTCCACATCTGGGACCGGAACCAGCGAACCCCGGGCTGCTGAAGGGGAACGTGTGAGCTTAACCACTGCACCACCAGGCCAGCTCACCAATCACAGTTTTTAAATGCATTCAAGGTATTAGATATATTTGATTTCTCTTAAAATCATCTTTTTGGGTATAAGAGGGAGCTTATTAATTAATATCATAGTTCAAATCCCTGGCATAGTAAGTGGAAAGAAAATAAAGAAGAGAAAAACAGGGGCAACTACTTTAACTTTGAACATTCAACTTTGACCCCTGTACCCCACCCCACCCCCAAAAAATCCTCCCAACTATTCCAAGGTAGCAGAAGTCAAAATAATTTTACACATCTCACTGGAACCATCTAGCAAGGGGACTCTGCCCTCCAAGTTATCTACAGTGGGCTTCCTACCTTCAAAAATATGACTAAGGTTGGAAAACATTATATTTTTGACACAAATCTCAAGTACATGAACCTCTGAATGTGGATTATCTGTAAAGATCTGTGAATAAGAGTAAGACTGATTGACAGTCTGAAGATGAGGGTAAAAAAATCATTTTCACCCCCAGCTACAACAGATTATGCATGCCCTTTGGCTTCCTATTTTCTTGGAAAAGTTATTTTAATCTAATGAGTGAGTGAACTTTCTTAGCTCTGCTACTTAGTAACACGTGTGTATGATTATCAATCCTTGAGTCTCGACATCATAAATAAATTTATCAATCTGGAGTCTTTTTGGGGTTTTTTGTTGTTGTTCTTTTGTGAGGAAGATTGTCCCTGAGCTAACATCTGTGCCAATCTTCCTCTATTTTTTGAAGGTGGGATGCCGCCACAGCATGGCTTGATGAGCGGTGTGTAGGTCCTCACCCAGGATCCAAACCCACGAACCCTGGGCTGCCAAAGTGGAAGGTGTGGACTCAACCACTGCACCACCAGGGCAGCCCCTATCTAGAGTTTCATAGTAGAAGCACTTTGATGGCTAACTTTGTCGCTGTGCCTGCTCATAAAATTTTGTAGCCACACAGGTATATGTGGAAGTTATAAACAGCAAATAAACTGTGGTTTAGTGGTACAGTGGCATATTACACAGCAGTGAAAATACAGCCAGTTCTGCTACAGTGCTTGCTTTGAATACACAAATCTGTTCCACTGCCACTGATATGTTAAGGAACACTTTGAACACAACACAAATTTTACATTTTCTTATACACAATTTCAGCAGTGAGAAACCCTAGGTGAACAGAGAAAACTGCGCCCAGCTGCTGAGGAATACACAAAGCACACACAAGCACACACTTTAAATCTGAACCAGCTACCTCAGCGTTCTGTGTTAGGAGCCACATCCATTCACATGTGATATCACAACCTTACACCCAACTTCAGATAACCCTCCTTCTATCACATCACACTAACCCACAAGCTGCAACCCTTCCAGTGACCACTTCTACAAGCAAACTGCAGCTCTTTTTCAAGGTAAGGGGTCAGATTTATTATAGCACTTACGTATTTATCACCCATTTAATGTGTAAAACTGTGATACCATTTTGATTAGGTTCCCATCTTTTTTTAATGTGTCTCATTAAGTTTTTGCATAATGTGCCCCAACCAGATTTTTCCCATGAGCCCAGTGGCTTTTACTGCATGATTCTGCACAGTGCAGTGATGAGATTTAGGATATTTAGTAGGTCATGTTGTAATAGAATCAACTGTAAACCGACTACTGTCCTATGCATCAACATGGATGAATCTCAACGTTGAGTTAAAAAAGAATATTGGGGCATGGTATGGGACCGGAGGGCAAGACTGAAAGGGTTCAACTGATCTTTGCTCCTCACGAATCTGTGTGCCTGGGCCCCAGATTGGAGGGCTTCACAGCTATACCCTATGTATACAAGAATCACTAAGCCCTCTTTTTTGTTATGTCTGAATGCTAAAAATTAGATTTTTAAATAATGAATATATATAGTGTGATATCATTAAGTTCAAAAACAGATGAAATTAATCAACATATTTTTATTGACACATAATGTGTAGTAAAACCATGAAGATAAGGATGAGAATTACAAACACAAAATCCCTAGGGAGGGGATGGAAGGGGAGACGTAAATAGGGATGGGTAAAGGTCTATTTTGTCAACTGAATGGCAGGCATATGAGTTTTCGTTATACCAGCTGTTATTCAAAACATGGCCTGGGTAATGTAAGACTCTTTCAAAGTGTCTGAGAGGTCAAAGCTATTTTTATAATAAGACTAAGACATGATTTGCCTTTTGCATTCTCATTCTTGCAAGAGTGTACAATAGTTTTCCAGTGATACGTGACATGTGATTATCGAAACAAACTAAATGAAAAAGCAGCTATGAGAACCCAGCTGTCTTCTATTTTCTCTTTTCTTTATTATTATTATTAAATTTTTTTTGGTGAGGAAGACAGTCTCTGAGCTAACATCTGTGCCAATTTTTCTATTTTGTATGTGGGACACCGCCACAGCATGGCTTGATGAGTGGTGTGTAGGTCCATGCCTGGGATCCGAACCCGTGAACCCCGGGCCACCGAAGCAGAGCACACGAACTTAATCACACACTACTAGGCTACCCTCCCACCATCTTCTACTAAGCCAGACAGTAAGAGATTTGCAAAAATGTACAATGCCACTCTTGTCAGTAATATTTTTTGTTTGGGAAAAAAATCTTTTCATAATTATATGTTACTTAACATGTAATTAATTAGCTGTTGTTAATTTTAAATGAATAAATATTTTTAAGTTTCTCAATTCTAATTTCTAATACAGTAAATATAGATAGATAGGACCCTCATAAACAAAAGTTCTGTAGAGTCTTCAATAATTTTTTAAAATATAAAGGAGTCTTGAGGCCAAAATATTTGAGAACCACTTTAAACCTTATACCTGAACACACACGATTCTTTTGTATGTATGAAATATTTCATACCAGTAGAGGTAAAAAAATCATCGTGCAGTGAAGACATAAAAATAAGCTTTCAGTGCCACCATCAAGTGGTGCTCTATATGGTCAAAGCTTGTTAGAATGATACATCTGTATGCAGACATGACTCACCGATACTCAGTCTGTGAAACACAGCCATAAAGTTCCTGGGCAGTAAATCTGACATTTTTATTTACCTGAAAAGAATCAAGACATAGTTACTAAAAATGCATATTAAATCAAATGAGTGGTAGGAGCACAGTTAGTGTGGCCCATATTCTGAGAGGGCAGAATGTCAAGTTTCCAGTTTTTGCATAAAAAGGACTAAAGAGTAACAATTAGAAGTTCAGTGACCATAATGCTAACACCAAACTACCCGGAAAAATATTAGTCTATTGTTACGACCTAATCTGTTCTCAGAAACAGAAGAAGTGAGATGGGCCTGGGGTTAGTGGGAATCTCAACAAAGCAGATAATCACTTTGCAGATCAAATGGACAGAAAAAACCATGTACTCCATGAAACACTAAATTCTACTCCTACTGGCTCTTATCAACAGATTCATGCTTCGATTAACCTAGCCTTTTAAAAGATTTCTAATGCACATACTCAATATTTATTTTCTAGGAAAAGTAAATAAGTAAATAAATTGTAAAAAATAAAAATTTAAAATAACTCTATACTTAAAGGACTGGCGTAGATTTGGGGTCATACAGGTAGACTATTGTAGCAGAACCAGCCACATCTTGTTTATATCCTGAACATCAGAAATAATTCAAGTTGAAAGAAAAAGAAAAGTATTCAACTCTAACAACATTTCAATACTATGGCTGACCCTTCCAAAAGTTATTACTGAATAACCTTCACTTTCATTTAAATACTAAGGTTCTAAACTATGTGGGAAGGTCTCTTTGGGAAAAAGTTTGATTTATGGACATTTTCTAAAGAAATGTATTTTTCAGACTACCAAGGTCTGAGTAATTAAACTAATATGTTGAAGTTCATAAATATGAGAATTCAGAGATATACTTTACTACTGTAAATATAAAAGTCCTTCATCATACGATAGCTAGTCGTGGCACACACATGGAGGAACCAGGAAGGACTCCTGTATTCCTTGAGGCCTACTACTGATTTAGTTACATTCTACTTATGTGTGGGGAAGACTGGAAATTGGTTGAAGAAAATTCATTTTATCAGATTTCTCAACAAACAGCATAGTGCCTAAATTTTCAGAAATACTGAATTAGTGAACGGAAAAGAAATGAGACTATCCTCTCTTCAATTAACTGTTAAAAATATTTAAAGTAGTATTAGCCAGTATGCATTTTTTGGTGGGGAAAAATGTCCCCACTCTGAGTTAATTAATACTACTTTAAAGATTCATATCATGAAAATCTTATAATAGAGTTTAGGGTATTTCTTTTTCTTTTTCTTTCTTTTTTTAACAGAGCCAGGATGTGACCCCAGTTGAGTCTAACTTGAGGCCATGCTCTTTTTTTTTTTTTTTTTTTTTAAGATTGGCACCTGAGCTAACAACTCTTGCCAATCTTCGTTTTTTCCCCCCTGCTTTTTCTCCCCAAATGCCCCCAGTACACAGTTGTATATTTTAGTTGTGGGTCCTTCTAGTTGTGGCATGTGGGATGCCACCTCAGCATGGCCTGATGAGCTGGGCCATGTCTGTGCCCAGGATCTGAACCAGCGAAACCCTGGGCCGCTGAAGCGGAGCACGCAAACTTAACCACTCGGCCTCAGGGCCGGCCCCCAGGGTATTTCTTATTTGCAAAAGTTCCATGAGCTTCTTCAGTACTTTCATAAGAAATTCACCATATTTGTGTAGAAAAAGTTTCATTCACTGAAGTTTAAAAATATAACATTTTTAACGCATATAATCCTAAATTTTTGCTTAAAATTGGGATTATATATTTATGTACAATGTTATTTAATTATATATAATATTTAATATTAGATTTAATGATTATATGGAATTGATATATAATTTATCATAATTAATTTTTTAGGTACCCTACTATTTTTATTAAAAGAATAAAAGATACTTACCCCAGAACACAGCTGGGGTATTAGGGTGACGTGGCTTCAGATCACCGTAGACGACTTACAAAGTAGGCAGTTAATTCACTAATAATGTAGGAAAACTGAGGCACGAATTCATGATACATCACAGATTCTAGCTTGAAATATCTTGTTTCATCATATTAATTAATTTTGATATAAGACATTTTTAATTACTCATATTGGGACATTTTAAATTACCCTGTTAAATATCATTTCCATGCTCAAGTACACAATTTTAATTCCAGGGAACAAATAGCTAAAAGATGCCTTTGTCAGTAAACGTTAGAGCTGGGACTATAAAGTGGATTGTGGAATTGGTGTCATTAATTTTTAGTTGTACTATTCACAATGAATGCCAAATATTAGAAATGGCTATATTATTTTTAATTCTTAAAAAGTGAAGAACAAAAGGCAAAGGTTAAGTACAAAAATACCTATAATTTATCTACTGGTGTTATTCATATTTTACAGATGAAGAAACTGGAACCAAGAGAATTAATAACTCTTCTAAGAGCATACGGTTAATACATGGCAGAACCAACATTTGAATATGGGCAGTTTGACCTGAGAATCTGTGTTCTTAGTCACTAAGTTCTTCATGTAACAAAAATAAAGAGCTAACTAGGAATAAAAATGAAGAAATATATTTAAAGGAGTTTGACTGCATAAGAAATGTGAGACCTTTAGAGCATTTTAAAATTAAACACACACACACACCCCCCCCCCACTTCAAAAGAAAGAATATAGGGGAACATGGGCAAAGAGCCTCAGGCAAACAGAAACTGAAGATCAACAGAATACTTTCCTTGCCTCAGCAACGATGAGGAGGCATGAAAGTTAATTTACAAAATATACTGGAGGCTCACCACAAACTCTAACTCCAGAGTCTACGCTGCCGCTGTAGAGGAAACTAAATTATAGCTTTCCTTCTCAGTAATCAGTGGTTATCAAGCAGAGTTGGTTCTACTTCCCTAGGGGCCATGCGAGTGCGTGAGTTGGGTGGGGTGTTAGAATATTTTTGGTTGTCACAATAACTGGGGGAGCTGCTGGCATTTAATATCTGAGGAACAAGGACATTAAACATCCTGGAACGTTCCACACAATGAAGAAATGACCTGTCCAAAATGCCAACAGCACCCCCATGAGAAGCAATTCTGTGTTGGAGAAAGTGTATTCTTATAGGACTCTACTGTAGGTTTTTACTTAGAGAACGAAAGGAAAAACTGAATGTCACTGGCAAACTTCTGTGGCATTCAAGAATTTAAAGCAAGTATCAATTAAACCGCATTCCATTACGTTTTAGAACTCTACCATGTTTGTTTATATTAAGATGTTTATGGTGGAAATATGATAAATATTTTAAAATATTTCTCATACCTCATACTTGATTAGGAAGTTATAGAGGGTCTCGATATCTTGATAATTACTGTTGGGGGCCAAAATCCTAAACAAAAAAATGAAATAAAAACAAAGGAATGGGAATGAATGATTTAAGAAGAAACATTTCCTCAACTTTTCCTCAAAAACATATTCATATTATGAGAGATAACTTATTGTATAACAAGCTTATTAAAATGTTTACAACCTTTCTTGGTTTTTATTTACCAATTAAAATTACAAAACCATGAGCTAATTCAACAAAGATCAATTTATTAAAATATTTTTGCTTATTTATATTAATAACTTACATCATTAATCAACAACCATAAGCATTCTTATGTGAAATTAGGGTTCACAGTTTTAAGTTACAATGATACAGATTTCCCAAAAAGTGGATAGAAATGTGGACTGCATGTACACTTCTTATCTTTTAAGCTGCAGATAAAGCTTGAAGATTTCCCACACAAATGTTCAACGAAGTCAAACGGACAACTGATTAACTATCAGACACATAGAAAGAAATCCTAATACAAGATTTTGTGACTAAATTCAAACACTGTTTGAACTATCAGCCTAGCACTCTATGAAAAAGCATAATAATCAGACTATGTCAATTGCTGGAAACAACGATTCATAAAAATAACAATGGAAAATAACACGTAAATAAAAATATAAATATACAAATTAAAAAATATAAAAATAACAAATGAAAACAAGGAAGAAATAAAAATAAAGAAGGAAATATTTCTCTTTCTAGCATTAAAGTATTAATTTTCATTTTCTTATAATAAGTATTTTTTAATCCTTTCAAGATGAAGAATCTTTTTCTTTTGAAAAAAGAAAAAGAAAAGGAAAGCAGTCCTTTCATTATGGTACTGTGGTTATGAGCAACATCTGCCTGGGCTTCTAGCTGTGTGACCTTGGGTGAGTTCTATGTGATGTATTTTCCTTATCTGTTAAATGAGGATGGTTATCATCCTGATTTCATAGGATTATTACAAGAATTAAACGAGTTACTACAAGGAAAGTCTTTATAACAGTGTCTGATATACAGCAAGCACTATATATGTATGTATATCTCAACTATAATAGTAACAATAACATCTATTATCATCATCTGATAGTTTCCAGCCACAGAATAAGTGCCTGATGATCTAACTAATGAGAAGTCAAGCCACCCCAATTAATTCTTAACTTGCAAGTACCTTTTCATGACAACAGTGTCTCTAGGTCCCCACCTCCTTGCCAATCGCCTGAAACTGTCAGACTTTAGAGCTAACTGATCTCAAAAACCTTATCAGATCTTTGAACTATTTGGCCTTTATTAGATTTGTGGGAGAGCTTTTGTAAATCATTTTTCAGGATATAGACGAATTTTTAACGGAGTCATGCTCCTTTGGGGGAGACATATCCAGAATATCTTTAAGAATATAGAAAAATCTGCCTAAAAATAGCAGTTTCATGGAAGAAGTTTTTCTCCCAACAAGTAATTTTAAAATACAAATAATCTCTTAGCAACAACAACGAAAAAGACAGAGGATAATACATTGCAGAGGATCCATGAGTAATTTGCTTAAAAAAATGAGAAAAAAGCTATCTAGATAAGTTAAACCACTCTTAGAAAGGCAATGTGAAAATACAGTGCATTCTAACTTTGCAACCTAGTGTAAACAAACTATCGGCAATGTGGAATAATTTACACCTATTCATTTTTATAGCTTTGGAAATAATCCAAACTGTCCATAAAAGAGGGTAAGGAAATTAGATGAAACAAGATGTTTTATATTAAGAGCCTTATAAATTCCAAGCTGATATCACAAAAGAAAGTACTTTACTAGTGAATAAAATGAACATTTCTCTGTCCTGAAATACTTTACAGAAAAACTGGTTTCAGGTGAATCAGTCATTTATCTATAGCAACAAGTCATATCCAAAGTAAGAAATAAAGAAAATAATTACATCATCCTAGTTTTCCAATTAGCCAAAAACTGAAAAATTTTTAAACTCCCAACCTGGTTTTATTTTCTAAAACAGTTTTACTAAGGTACAGTTTACTTACCATAAAATTCACTCATTTTAACAATTCAACGATTTTTAATAAATTTACAGAGCTGTACAATGATCACCACAATCCAATTTTAGAACATTTCTTTCACCTAAAAAAGATCCCTCTTGCCCATCTGCAGTCATTCTCTGTTCTCACCCTCCAACCCCAGCTCCAGGCAACCACTAATCTACTCTGTCTCTGCAGAGGTGCCTTTTTGGACCACATTGTTTTTTCAGTCTGTAAGTTCTTTCCCTTTTTACATCACAAAAGCATAGTTCTAACTGTATATGATACTATATATAATACAGAGTCCAGTGATGAGGCAAATTCTAGTGGATAATGGCTAAACCTCACAATGTATCTGGTAAGTAAAAAAGCAAGATGCATACTAAAGATGCCGAAATCTGAACAAGAGACCCTTTATTCTCTCATTCAATAAATATTTGAGATCTATTATGAGCCAACCAGTGTTCCAGGCCCTGGGACACGTCAGTGAACAAAAAGACAAAGATTCATAGTAGACCAAAGCATCATAGTTCTAAGGAGCATACGAAAGGAAAAAATCCTGACCAAGCACAGAAAGATGATGAAGGAAAAGAAATATCTCATTCTTAGCCTTTTGACAGTCTCTTCTCCCCATTTATCAATTGCTACTTCTAAACAAACAAGTTTACAAGTTATTCCTGTGATGAAACACGGGAATTTTAACCTTCCAAGAAAGAAGTCATTTACTCCAAATGTAGATACTTGATTATTTGACAAAATATCATAGAATTATATTCTAATAAACAAAAGTTTATTGGTATCTCAGCAACATTCACAGATATATTACTGTTATAATCACAATAAAACTGTTATTTTTTAAAACTAGGATATACATTACAGGATTTGTTATAAAATTTGTTATTCTTAAAGAATGTTTTGAGGTAAACTTAGCTCCAAAGAGACTGGACACTCTTTATTAAAATACACTCAATTTAGGGGTGAATTTAGACTTCATTACATCCTATGAACTCTGAGTTGATGAGAATGGAATGTGACCCAGTATAAAAAAATTGCCAACTTTTACTAACTAGAAGTACAGCCTGTTGAAAATACACAAAAAATAAAATGGAGAAAAATGGTTTATGGACTTTCATGCCTTAGTAATTCCCCACACAGAAATTCTTGAGAGGTCAGCCTTTTCTATAGCTTTCTCATTTTTTTTCTTATACCAGTATGAAGACAAAAGACTCTTAGAATGAAAGTCCTAAAGTTACCCTTCAATGGCCACTTTTAAAAAGAATAATAGAATGAAGAATTAGCTCTTAGAGGAGAGGAAATGAAATACTTTTCAGAAAATGACTATTTTTTATTTATAAACATGTCCACATTTGTCCTTTCAAGAGAAATCATAACAATAAGTATTTATCAAATGTACTATTTTCCCAAATGTACATTACACTAAGAATATAAAAGAAAATTACAAACCATGGTTGCCTATCTTCAAGTTGTTTATAATCTTGAAATTTCACTTTACAATTTTGGAATCAGAATTGGGGAACAGACATCTGAAGAAGGATTTAATCTGCAGCTCATAGGTTATTCACAAACCAAGTCTGATCTGAATGCACTGTGGTTTCTTTCATAACAGCATCAGTGATAATACATAACGTCCTAGCGAACACAAAGTCTGATACTACTCTACATATATCATCTCCAACCCTTGAACATCGTGAATTTAAATACGTGACCCTGACCAAGTTACCTCCTTCTCTGCACCCTAGCTCCTCAGCTGTGAAATAAGGAGAAAGTAGTATTTACTGTAGAGTGTTATATGAAGTAAATAAAATATCGAAAGCATTCAGCACAATGCCTGCCACATGTCAATAAATATGAGCTGTTATGAAAACCAGTTTTCAGATGTAGAAACCAAGGGTCAGAGTTGTGAAAACCTTGCACAAGATTACACAGAGTGGGGGGAGGTGTTCAAATCTCTGTTGGTTTGACTCTTGGAACCCATGCTTTTTCCACTAATAAAAAGGATCACCACCACCATACTCTTGCCTTTAACTGATTTTACAAACTCAAATGAAATAAAGTTCTTTTAAAACATTGAAAGAATTTTATATGTAAGCAAAAAACACTTTAATGTGCCTTTTATCAAATGCCTCTGGCAAACAATTTTGTGTATGTTCAAACACTGAATCTTTGTAGTTGCTATATCTTTTTCAAAGCCACAAAGGAAGTTAGTAGCAGAACCAACACTCACTAGAAGTCCTGACTCTTAACCACAGAAGCACTTTGAGTTTTCTATTAATCTATGAGCAATTAGCATTAAGTAAGCAAGATATTCACCTGCATAAAGCAAAGTTTATTTCCATCTCATCCAATATTAGAGAAATATCAATAGATCTCTTTAAGAAAAAAGACTGTGCCACTCGACTCAAGAATGGGGAAAGGTCTAGAATATTCAAATTTAATGTCTAATTCTAGAAATTCAAATGAAGAGAGAGCATGTTCTTGGATATTGATAAATCACAATGTACATCCCACAGAACTGAATAAATTATGCTCCCTGCTGGCAAGACAAAGTTTTACATTAATATAATATTTAAACTAGTTTTGAGTGGGGCTGGCCCCATGGTGTAGTGGGTAAGTTCAGCGTACTCCACTTCAGTGGCCCGGGTTCATGGGTTCAGATCCCGGGGCATGGACCTACACCACCTGTCAGCCATGCTGTGGCGACAACCCACATACAGAGTGGAGGAAGACTGACATAGATGTTAACGCACGGCTAATTTTCCTGAGGAAAAAAATTAAAAATTAAAAAAAAATAAAATAGTTTTGAGAGTGTGAAAAAATTAAAGATGAATTTAAAAAGTAATTACATGGCTTATTTCACTTAGCATAATGTCCTCAGGGTTCATCCATGTTACAGTATATGTCAGAATTTCCTTCCTTTTTAAGGCTGAATAATATTCCATTGTATGTACATACCACATTTTGCTTATCCATTTATCCACTGATGGACACTG